GCTGGGCTTTCAGGTCCCTTTGAATCTCACAAAAGTCCCAAGAGCATTAGAGTCAATTTTATTATCCTGTTTTACAGATGGAGACACTGAGGTTCAGTGTAGTGGAGTTAAGCTGCAAGCAATGGCTTTCCATCTCCAGATCCAGTGCTCTATCCTTGTACTACACGGCTGTCTTCCTCTCTGAACTTGTATACTAGCCCAGGGATATCCTCTACATTTTTATGTATTTTTATGCTTTTCTCATGTATCTGACCTCTGAAACTGAAGCACAAGTCAGGAAATAAAATCTTTTGTAACTCCAGCACCTTTTCACTAAAAGAATAAGTGAACAAAAGTACAAACACAAATAGGCTCGTGTTCAGAAGGCAACACTGTGTTACAAGAAGACAACAGCAAGGGCAGGAAAACCTAGGGGTCAGCAAATAGTCCAGAGAGATGGAAATTTAGGATGACAGGCCTTATTTGAATGTATCTTTATGTCTTTTGTGTGAGTAAGCTATTTAACTACATTTAAAAATAATCAATCCTTCAGAATACACAAAAAGGCATACTCAATTGAATTTTCCATAGATGAATCTCTGAAACATCTTCCTCTAAGTAGAAAGGAATGCTTTTGAAACAAACTATTCCAGAAATTACTTAAGCCAGATGGAAACCATTGAGATGTCAGGCCATGCCGCTCTATTGTCTCCTACAATTGGTCTTGGTTTGTTAGCAAATTTGTTATATAACTTTAAAGAGAGAAAGAAAACTTTGTAGTACTCCTTGGTAATGGGTTCTCCAGCCCCCGAAGTGACTTCTGGAAGATCAAATTAGCTTTCGTGATAAATATTGCCATGAAACTAGTAATTAGCTTCTAATGATCCTACATTTTTCATCAACTGCAAAGTCATAAGCAGATGAAGATTTTGGCTCCTTGGCAAACTCTTTTTGACACGGATACCTGGGAAAAGAAGAATAGAAAGATCTTTTGTTGTGCCCCAGGCCATAGCAACCTGGCAAGTGGATCATTGGCTTCTCCTCTGGGACACACAGCAATTTATCCACTAATACTTTTAACTACCTCCCAAATTGTGACTGTAAGCATTGCAGGTCAAGCTAATGAGTGGAGGTTTTTGTTGTTGTTGTTGTTTTCTGAATTAATCCTAAAGAAAGAAAACACGGACTGTCAGGTCTGGAAAATGCAGAACAGAGCTAAAGCAAGAAGCAAGAAGTCCTTAAAAGTGTGGAGACCATGTCTATTCTTCACTGAAATTTTATCTGCGGAATTGGTATGCAAAAAAATAATCCTACGAGGATTTAATTAGTCATGTCATTCAATAAATCTGCAGAGGACATTCTATATGCTAAGCATTGGCCTCATTACTAGCATGTAAACCTGAACTAGATATTGTCCTAGAAAGAGATATCACCCTACTACTGGTGTTAGGAAAACTCTAAAGAGAAAATGAATTTTTCCACTGAAAGCATCTTTGTGAACAAGCAGGAAATTTTAGGCAAAGGAGATTAAGGTGAGCGAACCCAATGCTGAAAGGATCAGCACAAACTTCTGGTGACCAGAGCAATGGATGTACATACATCAGAGTGTGGTGGCAAGTAAGTTGGCATAGGAGTTTTTGTAGTGTCCAATCAGCAGAGCCTGTGTAAATGTTAATGAGAACTTCATAAATGATCTGAGAAGCAATCATTGAGAAGACAGCCAACTCATGCTTTGCTTTTAAAATGTAGGATGCACCAAATTTTTAATAATATTTCATCTCAGCAGCCTCTCCAATAGCTTTACATTCTCACTAACACAATAAGTCTTGGCACGGTGGAGGAAACCATGAAAAAGAAGGAGCGGAGATCTGAGATGCAGTTCAGTGGTAGAGGATGTGCTACCACTTAGCATGTGCAAGGCCCTCAGTTCAATCTCCATCATGAAGGAGAAGAAGGAGAAAGGGGAGGAAGAGAGGAGAAAGGGGAAGAAGGGGAGGAAGGGGAGGAAGAGGAGGAGGAAAGGGAGAAAGAGGAG